TAAGAAGCGGCTGGGCACCTCTTTTTGGTCGGCGGCGACTCGTTGCCTGAAGCTAGTGTCGCTGGCAATAAGTTCCATCAAATCCGCCAAAGCCTGGCTATTGTTTGGATCGAAACGGTGTTGAGGATCTGTTACCAGCTCTTGATGCGCTTCATTGTCAGAAACGAGCGTCGGAGCGCCGGCTGCCATTCCTTCAATCACCGGCAACGAGAAGCCTTCAATAAACGAACTACTGATATTCGCAATTGAACTGGCATACCAGTCACTCAGTTCGTCGTCAGAAATACCGCTAAGGAACCGAATGCGGCAGGTTGAACCACCCAGCGATCGATGTTTTTCTTTCAGCGCTGCTTTACCAGCATCCTGATAGTTACCGACAATGACAAGATCGGTTTCGGTCTTGCTGGTGGCGTGTGCAGTAACAACTAGTTCAACATTCTTGCGCGGATCGCCTCCTCCGACAAAGATGAAGTAAGGGCGATCCCCCGTCTTCAGTTTCGGCTGAAAGCTCTTGTTAGGCTGTTTGGTTTGCTGCCGAGCCAGCATCCCGTCTTGAAACGATTTGCGAAGCGTAACCCCGGTAACGAAAGTGTCGTCCTCATGGGCAGCCGTCGTTTCAAGTAGCCTTCGCTCGCTATATAGGCTAATGGGAAAGAACAGCTGGTATGCATCAAGCCAAAGCATAGAACTAGCGTAACTACGCAATGATTCCGTATTGGCTAGGTAGCGTTCCGAGACATCGAGGGGAATGAAATCGTATATGACTGCCGCAGCGAGAATCCCCTTTCGATCGAGCACGCGACCGCAAACGGCCGGATCGTGCGTCATAGGAGACAACTGCACGAACACCGACTCTTGTTCTATGCATGTGGCTTCAGACCAGGGCTGGATTTCCTCGAATAACGCGGCGTGTTCCTCTGCCATGTCCGGCAGCGAAGGATCAACCAGCGCTCGAAGACGCACGCGGTCGGCATAATGGTCGACCGCGTATTGCAGCAGAGTGGAAGAGTGGTAGCCCACACCTCGAAATGCATAACCTTCATCCTGAAGGCACCGGGCATCAACGTTCACCAACATTTATTTAGCCAACCTTCCTGGGAGCAACGTCCCGATCATTTGGCAACAGGCGGCAGGGCTGATCCCAGTCAAAACGGGTGGCTTGTTCGTCCAAATTGATCGAGAGTCCGCCTTGTTCGACGCTCATGCCGTATCCAGCCAGGCAGCGGAAGATATCGAGGGCCTTGGTCTTGGTCTCTTGTAAACTACGCTGACCGTCGACAACGTGAATATGCCAGGTGGCTTGAGCGGCCGAACGGCATAAGAGCTCGAACAGGGCGTAATCGATTTGCAACTCTGAGCCAACGCGAATGTATATCTGATTCAGCATCCCTAGATGATTGGCGGATGTGGTCTCGGCGCCCAACGTGACATTTCGAAGCAGGTTCGCACCCACGTTCAAATCCACGATTTCATCACTCCCCTGATCAAGCGAGATAACTTCTCCCGTGTTACCTACCAGCGTTGCCAGGGAAAGCGTATGGTAGCCAGCGAAATCCCCTAGCACGCCGACATGATCTCCCGGTTTGACATTTTCCAGGATCGTCTGCGACAAGCTCGAATCAAATTGCCGGACGAGAAGCATGCCCAGGGGGCGGAGTTCGTGGGTAGGACACAGGAAAAAATCGGCATGAGGATGAGCGATCAGCATCCTATCCGATGATATCTGGCACGGGGTTACCAGTGCTTGCACTTGAACCGGCACAGCGTTCTGTCGCTGCGAGGAACGCATGAATGCTAGCAGTAGTTCGTCCGTCCTCGCTAAATTTGCCGCGACCGACGGATCGACCACATAGTGCGTAGCGGCCGGAACTGGAACTGGATCGTGACGCAACGCCTTCTTGGCCTTTTTGCTGATCCACTCGACAGGCCGAGATAATTCTCGCAAGAATCGTCTAAGCGGAGGCCTTTTTCCCTGCGTCATCCAACTGTCCTCAGTGACTTTGTTGCCCTACTAGTCCATTAGAAGGGCCGGAGTTTAGCAAAAATCGCAAAATTGAGTCAATCACAAAGGGATGCTCTGCTTCTTGGGCATCACGGTGCGAATTAGATCCGACCAGACTGTCTTTTGAGAGGCGATGAATGCCTTGGCAGCTTGGGTTTGCTTCTGGCTCATTTCCTGTAACAACTCA